CTKKCCAGTTCATTACAGATACGGCGGGGACACGAGTGTGCAGAAATAGCCCGCGTGTGTGTAGACAATAACCAGCATGACAAGTGTGCGCAAACGATCACCAGTAGGGCACGTGTATTGCCATTTTAATTTTTTTTTAATGGCGCTCGCCTTCCAGAAATTCTCAGCGTCAAAAAAAAAAAATATCAGCGTCCTTTCCGCCCCGGAGGAGGTCTGGGATATAATTTTCAACCAGCAGAGTGTGTGTGTGTGTGTGTGTGTGTGTGTGCGTCTCTGTCTGTGTACGTTTGGGTGAGTGGCTGCGTGGGTGGGCGCGTGTCTGAGCACGTTTGGAGGGTTTACGATTTGCCAGACGAGGAGAGGGGCTTCGGGCGAAATTCTGAGGAAAGTTCGGGAGAAAGTTTGGTGGTTGACGTGGAAGCTGATGTGGGTGCTGATATTATGGCTCGAACCGCTGACGTGGCACTTTCTGGCTTTCTAGAGCCCTGGCCGCTGGCTGTAGAGACTGTCCGATCAGGGTTCTTTGGTTTTTTTTTTGGGGGGGTCCAAGCAGAGTTGCGTACATCCGGGGTGTGTTACCTAGAAATGGGCAAAATTTTAAAAATGATGAGAATGATGTCCACAAGTGGATGACTCTAGTCCTACACGATTAGGGTTTCGCAGAGGAGGAGGAGGAGGAGGAGGAGGGGAGGAGGAGGAAGAAGAGGAGCAGCAGGACGAGGAGAAGCAGGAGGAGGAAATGGAGGAGGAAGAGGAAGAAGAGGAGGACCAGCAGGAAGAGGAGGAGGAGGAGGAGGAGGAGGAGGAGGAGGAGGAGGAAGAGGGGGAAGAGGGGGAGGAGAGAGGAGGAGGACGACGAGCAGCAGGAGGAGGAGGAGGAGGAGGAAAGTAGAGTTTTCAAGACGAGGTTACGGGCATACTCACACTAGGACTCTCGTGCATGTACATTACCCCAATCACGACTAGATTCGGTCAAGACAGTGCTCGTATGAGTTTGACCTAATTCAGCTCCCATAAGAGGATCAGGCCAAGCAAATCGTGTGTAAGGGCATATCATACATGAGGGAGCTTCATGGATGCATCTGGCCGCAATTACGGCCACCGTCAGATGCACTTGGCAGCAAATACGTGAAGAAGATACAAGTCCAAAAATGGATAGCGTGACGGAGTAGGCCCTCAGGTTGTCATGCTCGAGTGGAAATGGGTACAAGCAGATTTCTTTTATTTGTTTTTTTTAAGAAGCACATTTACGGCCTCGCTGGGCCATTGACTAAACGTTGAAAAAGACAAGAAAAAAGGAAAGAATAAAACTTTCTCCGCCTTTTTTCCCATTTTTTTAATTGTTTTTTGGGAAAAAAAAAGTCCTTTCTCGGTCTTTTTTGGCAAAGACGAAGTGCACCATCTGTGCTAATCAGCTTCCTATCAGATCCGTGGTCCATCGGGCCACGTTAAAAAAAAAAAAAAAAAAAAATGGCGAAAAGAAAGACGCAAAAAATGGCGGCGAGTGTATCATCCCACCTTCATTCTAAAGATACATTCGAGAGACGCAAAAAATGGCGGCGAGTGTATCATCCCACCTTCATTCTAAAGATACATTCGGCATTTCTACCGATTTGGTGACTAGAGCAGAGACGCTCTCCCTCCCCCCCCCTCTCCCCCCTTCCCCCCTCTCTCCTCCTCCTCCTCCTCTCACCCTCCTCCTTCTGGCCCTCCTCCTTCTGGCCCTCCTCCTCTCCCTCCTCCTCTCCCTCCTCTCCCTCCTCTCCCCACTTTCCC